ATAATCACAGTGCTATGAGAGAAGAGCATTAAGCTCATTCTGTGACCTTTCTGCTGGCCATCAATTGTAATACAAATGAGCATTAGTAATATGCACAGTATGGGAAGCAGAAATAGCAGGCAGGTCTGTCCTCTGGTTTTGACAGAACAAATTGACAGATTTCACTTAATTTCTCCCCTGAATTATGTTCCCTGAGCCAGAGAACTTTAAAATGTGATTTTCCCTTTCCTTCTGTAATGAGAAAATGAAATTTTAAGGTTGTGGGATGTGCAGGACTCTCCAGGGACTGCAGTAGTGTTGCCATTACACCATCACCAGGGCTTGGTCTTTGCTCTAAATATATGTTCTTCATTTTTCACGATGATTCTGTTGGTCTGCAGCATTTCCTCCTTCGTATTTTTCATATGAGAAAATTAAGCATCAAGCAGGTAAAATAACTTGCCCCAAATCAGATGCAACTTGTAAGTGGAAGAATTGGATAAGAAATCAAGGATTATACAGCTTCTAGACCTGCACTCTTTTTCCCTCCCCACTCTTGTTAATTTTTAATCGATAATGTGTGGACAAGAAAAAAATTCATAAGATACAGGTGCAGAAAATTAAGTTTCTCTCCCATCCCAGTTGCTGCTTTCTCTTCCCTAGAGGCAACCACTGTGAACCAGTTCTCAAGCACTTAATTTTATACTCTGCTGCTCTCTTTTAAGTAGAGAACAACACACAGAGTCAAAAGTGGCAGTAGCAGCAGTTGCCCACTTGGGCAAGGTCTCTATCAGGAGCATCAAAGGCGCTTTTTCAAAGTGCACATTCATTTTGCTCTTGTGGTTTTGGGTAAGACCCCCTAAGGGAATTTCGGTCTCTTCCTTGTCCCATTGCATTGAGAGTACTGTGCCTGTATTGCTAAAATGCATAATGCACTTTCACGGACATAGACACTACTTCTTTAAGACAGATGAAGGAGGCATATTGGGAGGATGGCATTTGAACTATACTCAAGAACGGATTTGGAGAAACAAGTGCAGTGATATTCCAGGTGGAAGAAATACTATGAGCAGAGGTGGGAGAGTGTCAAGTACAGTATTAGATCAGGTGTCAAAAACTCCCATATCATGTGGGCCAAGAAGATAACATAAACAATATCTAAAATGATAACTGCCAACTGACCTGTGACCTTGGGTTTAGGATTCTGAGAGAACTCTCATTATCCTGTACCACAGAGTACATACTACATATTTTTTGAACATTCAGAATTAACATTTTAGAAGGAGTGAGAAAAACAAATACTGTATAAATGAAGCTCTAATGGCTTAGTTGATTGTCTTGAATAACCTCTGAGTGAGCACAATTAGCTTTGTGGCCATTATGCTTGTGGCTCATCATTACTTTAAACATTTAGCTTCATTCTTGGGAAGTTGCTTTTTGTTTATGGTAAATTTAGTAACCACCTAGTCTTTAAACATTAGTTACTCCCTAATCATTAAACACAATGGCTATTTAATATTTTCACTCTGGGAGTATATGTGTGGCAAGAACCCGCCATGGGGTGTGTTCTTATTTTGAGTTCAACTTTTTTGGAAGTCCTCCCCCATCCAACTGACACATCTTTGGAGCATTTCTTTCCAGAAGTTTTTCCTCCCCCTGAAGCCATAGCACTTATATTCCCACATGAGCATTTTGATATCTTACTTTAGGATCCTAAAAGCAGAGCTTTTAGAGAAATGCATGGGATGCCATTTGTTTCATGACAGGTCTTTCTACTCCTGGGTTGAAGACCTCTAGCTTTCTTGATCTCGGTTGACCTTCCTCATCTCAACAGTGACAGTAAATCACACAATGGTCACACTTTTTGGATGCATTTCCTTCTATCCTTTACCTGTCATATCAGGATCATGAAAATCCTGCTGCTCATTAGCTTTGTCAGTTTCCATAGGACCCCTCATGAAGCGCATCGAATAAACATCAAGAAGCATGACATGGGTGTGTGTGAAGGTATCAATCATCTGTTGCACCCACTCCTGTCATTTCAGCACTTTCCCCTCTCAAAGAACTCAGAATACCAAAGGGGTGGACAACTGAAAGAGATGAAATGGTTGATTTGTTTAGTTGCTAAGTGCAGCTGGGACAGGTAATTAAACAGTCCCGCTCCCGCGGAGAAGCCTGCAGCAATGTAACATGATGTCTCAGAAAGCCAGCTGCACTCAAATTTAGATTCAGAACTAATATTAGGTAGGCCTCCTTCAGATTGACAGATCTCATAAACATCATTTCTGGTTTATTTGTTCAGCATGGTTGAAGATGAAGCCTTTGTGTTTTGTTTGTGGTTTAAGTTTTCTAGGGAGCATGTGGTGTTCACAGATATCTGCAGGAGTAACCTAGAAGGGCACAGCCCCATATCCAGAGGGTAAGGGATGCCAGAAGTGAGCCTCTGCCAGTCCTCAGTGCCCTAGCTCGTTCCTGACTTCATGTGTTCCATTGGAGGTGGGGATGGGGTTAGCCATATGACTAGATGAGGATGGGTTGGAGGGGTAGGTTGGGTGGGGAAGCCTGGAAGGGGAGACTGGAACCACTTTCCTTCTTATCTTTTTTAATTTCGATGTAGCATATTGTTCTGTAGTAGCCAAGGTGTCTCTATAACTACAGCATGTCTTTGTCATAATTTGGGCACTTATTTCCATGGAGAGATTGTCACCACCATCTGCTCATTTATTCACATACAAAATTTAGTAATTATCTTTTTCACTCACCTCCTATAAGCAGTCTCCCAGAAGGCTTTTTGTAGGGCAGACTCATTTTATCCTTTTGAGTCTCACCTCAAATGTCTCTTTCTTTTTAGAGCCTATACTGGCCACCTTTCCAGACTGACCTTCAGTGTTGTGTCCTTATGCCATGACCCTCAGTGGTTATGTCAATGAGGTGCTGGTAAATGTCTAGCTCTCAAGAAAAGAAGGGCAGCCCCAGTTGTAGCACTTACCAATATCTGTGGTGTGAGTGCCCTGACATGGCCAATTTCCAGCTATCAGGTGACATCATTTATTGCTGAGTTGGGAAGCCATGCACAGTAGCACTTCATTGTTAGGCTCTTCTGCAGAAGCAGGACTATTTAATTACCTGCATTTAGCAACTACACAAATCAACTATTTCTAATGTGTTTTTCAGTTGTGCACGGCTTCGGTATCTCTGATGTCTTAGAGAATATGTCTACCATATGGATATAAATCACTTTGAGAAAATAGTGGGAAAACATAGAAATAATGAATTGATGGATTTTGAGTTCTTATTTTATTTATTTTAGTATTAATTATAATTTTATACAACTTAATTTTAAATAATGGCCAGGTTTAATAACCTGGCTCACAACTTTGCTAGAAATTGAATGATCTCCTTTCACATGCCAGTGTGAGCCAGCTCCAGCACCCCACTGGAGGGGATCTCTGGGTGGACACCGACAACTCTCTGCCCTGCAGTGTTTGGCTTATAAACAAAGGAAGGAAGACAGTTGGCAGAGATGGGTGGATTTCTCTGAGAGTTCTTACTTCCATTAAATATACTATCAAAGAAAATGGCATGAGTGTCTCCTATCTTGATATATGTGATTTGGGTCAGTGACTGGACAAGAGAATGAGGTGGCAGCAGTGAGAAATAACGAAATCACAGAGAGGGAATAGCAGTGGAAATAACTTTAACCTTCCACTTAGGGTAGTAGAACATCTTATTGCCAGAGTTGGTTTTACATCCCAGAGTGCTTGGTGGTCAAGGGCACTTCATTTTCAGAAAATTAGCCCAGGGCCAGAAGTCCCTCATGCCTATTTTAAGTCACTCAGGTCGTAGTCAGCTAGACCACTTGCCACTTCACATTTGTCTGCATGTCTGTTGTGGGATGTAAATGAGTCCTCAGATGGTGTCTGAACCAAGCCGGTGGAACACTGGGGACTCAGAGCAGATGACTGAGGGGAGGTGACAACTCAGGGGTGAGGAATCTGATTGTAGGGAGAATGAGGGAAGAAGCCACACTGGAGATGGGTAGATAGAGGTAGCCCTGCTAGTTTAGATAAATAGGTGATTGATCTAGAAAATATATTAGTAGTATTTACCATTTTTTAGTATATATAGCCACAATGAGAAATCATGAGCTCCATCTTTCAAATTTTGGGGATATGGTGAATGTCTTGTCCTTTGCAACCAACAAAGATGAGAGCAACAAAGGTAGTCAGCTCTTTTCTCTGACATTGGCTAGAGTGTCTAGATCCTTCACTCATATCGTAGTCCACACAAATCCTTATAAATCAACAGAATCAATCCTAGAATGGTTAATGTCGTCCCCAAATCAGAAATGGTATCACTTAAATTAGCAAGATGGAAAAGGACATCTTTTACAGATTAGGTCAAATAACCTTCAGTGTGCCCATATTCAGTGCCTGAAACTGTTCTAGGCCCCAGGCTATAGGGATTAAAGGTACAGACTTGACATTCAAGTGTGAAGGGGAGAAACAAAGAAAATAGAATTCTAAGCAGTACTTGTGAGTCATGATAGAAATGTGCACAGAGTGGTCTCGAACTCCCAATGGAGGCAGGTTAACTAAGAGCTTCCTGAAAATGACATTGCTTTTATATTGAAGTGTGAATGGAAGTTATTTATGAAACAGGGGAGTTAGAGATATTCTGGGGATGGTGAGCCCTGTAAAAAAAGAGAAACACAGTGTACATACTAGGAACTGTAGAAATCGTGGGGGTACCTGGAGCTTAAAATTGAAGACAGAACTTTGTAAGTCTGTCTCTTCATTTCCAGGGAATCTGTAAGGAAAATAGGAGTAAAGACAAGAACTTCAAGAACAAGAACTTCATAATTTTACTTGAGGCTGCTTTTCCCATTATTGTCTTCTTTTGGGAGTTTGGTGATCTGATTCAGGTGGTGGTGTTTTCATCTCAACATTGGTACTTGTTGGAGGATTGACACTCATCTGTGTCCTCTCATGTGTAATATGTCACTCTGTGTCTTGCTATAGCTGCTGCCTATCCATACTCTGAGGCTTGGTGTGGAAGTGGATTCCTTTGATGGGCACCATTACATTTCTTCAATTGTTCCTGGTGGTCCTGTTGATATGCTGAACCTTCTACAGCTAGAGGATGAGCTTCTTGAGGTAAAGTTTATGGGGGGAAGAAAGATACCAAGCACGAAATTTTAAAATTCTAGGCAAATGTGTCCACTGAGTTGCAGTGTCACCAATGCCAATGTAATGTGAACTCTTAGATTGGAAAACAGAGTAAATTGGATGACAAAAGGAAACCAGTTTCACTCCATCAGTTCATTTTTGCCATATGCTAAGGCTCCTCAGAGGTCCTTTTTAAAAAAAATTAATTTTTAAAAATTCTTTTTAGTTATACATGATAGTAGAATGTATTTTGATATTATACATTATATATGGAGTACAGCTTCCCATTCTTGTGGTTATACATGATGTAGAGTTACACTGGTCATGTATTTATAAATGAATGCAGGAAAGTTATGTCCATTTTATTCTACTGTCTCTCCCATCCCCCTTTGCTTCCCCCCATTTCCCTCTGTTCCAATCTGGTGAACCTCCACTTATCTCTCCCCTCCACCTATTTTTGAGTCAGCATCCACATATCAGAACATTCGTCCCTTTTTTGGGGGGATTGGTTTATTTCACTTAGCCTGATAGCCTTCAGTTCCATCCATTTACTGGTAAATGCCATAATTTCATTCTTCTTTATGGGAGTGTAGTCCATTGTGTATATGTACTACATTTTCTTTATCCATTCACTGAGATATCCTTTTTAATGTGTATCAAAGTGATGTACTAAGAAAGGAGTTTGACAGCATAATTTGTCTTTTTCTAAGCAAAATGTTAAGAATCCAATCCCTGACCCTAGGTGTTTGCAACACGTAGTCACATTTATACATTGATAATTTCTAATAAGGATTAGAGCTGAACAACTTCAGGCACATGTACAGTTGACTTACATGTAGATGCTTTTGGGATAGTCTGCTTAAAACTCCCTATCCACAGGGTGGCCTCCAGTGGGCTTGCTCAGGCTCCCGAGCCTCTCCTCAAAGAAGTTCTATAGTAGCTTTGAAATGATTTTCTCTAGAGATTTAAATAATTGGAAAATTCAGTGTTAACAAACAAAATAATCACGAAACCCCATGTTTTACAGATAAGAAAACAAGATGCTAACTCCCCAACTTTATACACAAAATTAGTGGTAGAATGTTAACTTTAGCTCGTGTTTCCTAACCCCTATTTCATTGTTGTTGTTTTTTTTTCAAATACAACATACTATCTCCTGACCTTCTGAAAGAGATATAGGAACAGCCAAGCAAGAAGACTACAGAGAAGAGGGTTATTTCAAGAGTTAGGATTTACAACAGCCAGGCACTGTGGTACACTCCTTTAATCCTAGCAGCTTAGGAAGCTGAGGCAGGAGGATGGTGAGTTCAAAGACCAGCTTCAGCAACTTAGTGAAACCCTGTCTCAAAACAAAACATAAAAAGGGGTTGGGATATGGCTCAGTGGTTAAGCGCCCCAGGTTCAATCCCTTGTTTAAAACAAAAAACAAAAAACAAAAAAAACCAAAATCAACCTAATAGCCTTAGCCAAGATCAGACTCTCATGGACCCTGACTTCTATTTAAAATTTATGTTTGCTCAAAGCGAAATGACAAAGATGGTACATAGTTTTCATGTTGGGTGCAATTACAGTTTGTTTGTAGTGTACACCCACCTAAGGGAATATATTGAGAATTCTGGGTTGAATTTCAAGGTCAAAGGGAAGAGTGCTTTGACTGGTTATCAACTTCTGACATAGTGTTGGAGGACAGGGTGTTGGAGTCCTTTTTTTTAAGATGTGGAAAGTTGCTTATTTTTTGAATTTAAATTTTTTATTGATACAAAACATTAAAATTTTACACGTGGGGTGGGCATGGTGGTACACATCTGTAATCTCAGTGGTTTGGGAGGCTGAATCAGGAGGATCTCATGTTCAAAGCCAGCCTCAGCAATTTGCAAGACCTTGTCTCAAAAAAAAAAGTTAATGGGGCAACAAGTGATGTTTTGTTAGATGTATACATTGTATAATGTTTGTCAGGTTCAACATATTTATCTCCTCAAGAGTTAGTTATCTTCAAGGTGTTGACAAGTGATCTTGGGCTACTTATTATAGATTCATGCCCTCAATTTTACTAGATGATTTAGCTTTCTTTCTGATGCTGGGGTTGGGTCTTCCTCTGCTAGTTGGCAGGATATGGGCAGTGAGGATTCCGCAATCTGTGGATTGAAGGCTATTGCTATTATATGTAGTTGTTGGGTGGTGAGAAATGAGATATGTTTGGGAGGTGTGAGGCATGAGTTAAACCAACTTAGTTCATTTTATTATTTTAGGTAATAAAGTTTATGTAACAGAAAATTTACTATTTTAACTTTTTAAGTGTAAAATTTAGTGGCACAAAGTATTAATCACTACTAGTAAGTGATCTGTGCTAAAGAAACGTTGGCTGGATTGGGATCGAGCAGGTATAGGTGATCCCAGCCATCAACTGAAGGTTCCATGCTTCAGCTGAGATTAGAATGCATGGGCCTTCCACCCCAAAATAAAATGTTGTGTTTTGAATTCTGAAATGCAGATTTCCCATGAAGGAACTTAGGGTAGGGAAGGAAACCCAGGTTTGAAAGTCAGAAGAGCTCCTTTGGGTTCTGAATTTGCCACAACTTGCCCTGTGTCTCTTGGCATGTAAGTTAACTTTTTTAAAAAATCTATTTTTTAGCTGTTGATGGACCTTTATTTATTATTTATATGCAGTAGTGATAATAGGACCCAGTGCCTCCCACATGCTAGGCAAGTGCTGTACCCCTGAGCCACGACCCCAGCCCATCACTTAACATTTTGAGGAGTCCATTTCTTCATTAAATGCCATTTCACTACGTGTTTGTGATGATCTAACAAAATGCCATCCGTGTACGCTACACAGCCTAACCTTACTGAGAAGAGCTGGCCTCAGTATCCCCATGACGAAGTCATGTTAACAAGCTTGGGGGCTGAGATGAGGATTCAAGGTGGTAGTATGGGTGACAGCACTTGGGCAGAATTCTGTGTTCTGGAAGTGTGTATACACATGTGCATTTTCTGATGAAAAGAGTTGGATAATTGAGACTTTACAGCTTTTAAGAAGGTCTCAAGTTGAGGGACCTTGAGAAATATTGTGAATTTTAAAATAATAATTGGCTGCTTCTGAGTAACTGAATATAGACATAGAAGGCCTCTGTAAAATTAGCCAAATAAAGTCCTTGACGTGTGTGTGTGTGTGTGTGTGTGTGTGTGTGTGTGTGTGTAATGTACTCCTTAGAGCTTAAAACCAGAAACACAAAAATGCTTTGGGGTTAGAACACTGTGCCAAGTCTCAGCCCAGAGCAGCCGTTTACAACAGCCATAAATCCCCTTAGATAGGAGTTGGTAATGGGAAATGTGACCAATCCCTTTAGTAAGAGAAAGTAGTGAGGAGGACTACCAGGCACTGCTGTAATAATTGGAGACAATTCAAATTAATAAATAATGAGCTAAATAAATATTTAAAGGTACTCCAAGATAAAAACCCGAGAAGTGACTTTCTAATTTGTTGAAGTGAAACACAAAATAATACTTGTGTATGGGTAGAATTCCTGCTTTGATCATATCTACTTGCTATTTTTAATATGGGTTGCTACCCATTTAAGTGACTTTCGGTCTTTTTGTGCTTATATCATCAATTGGTACTATGGATATGGTGTGACCAGTGATGGGTACCTTTTAGCCCTTTCTTGCATAAAGGTTGACTTACAGTTCTTCCAAGGAAAAACCTTTTGTCTGCTGACAAACCTGCTGTCCCCTGGACCCCTTCATTGTCGTAAAAACTGGGGAGGTAATATTTATTTTTCCAGTAGAGACAGCTCCCTAAAGTGCATGTGGGTCCCTCTACCGTGGGTGCTTTCTTTGTAAATAATTAAGTGGCAGGGAAATGTCTGGCCTGATGGCTAAGTGCTGGGTAGGTTACAGGCTTGAGAGTGGTTCCCAGGGATGATGTCTCTAGACTCCTCCCGCTGCTGATGAGATGCTTCCAGCAACCCAATGTACTTAAATTCTCTGGTGCAATGACAGGTCTGTGGAAAGGCTGTTCCCAGTAAAGTTGGCCCAGTCAGTTATCTGAACATTAGCACTATACCTGTCAGAAATTAATGCCAGCTAGAAATTTCATTAAAACTAATAATGTTGCTAAACCCTCCCAGGAAGGTAGGAGTCAGATATGAAAAGATTATTGTGCCTGAATTTTGTCCATGCCTCAGCTTTTGGGGAGGAACAGACAGGTTAGCTTTTAGTGACCAGTAGTCAGAAGTGAGAGAACTCTTTAAAGTCATAAATGTAATCTTTCTAAAATCATCTTTGGTGCAAAGTATTATTAAATGATATGGAATGTGGATAATTTTTCACGAGGAAGATTAATCATTAGTAGGGAATAGTTCTCTTTTTTAAACATGAAACACTTGAATGAAATAACTTGAAATTGACACTTCCTACATAACTTGATGGCTGCATCAGCTAAACTTTACAAGAATGGAACTGGAGCGAGTTATGCATATTCCTTTTCTATAGAAGCGATTTTTCTAGGATGGTAATAAGAGTGAAAGGATGTTGAACCGATGTTAAATTTTGATAGCCATGCATCTAAGATTTTATCACCTACACATTGTAAGGTGAGCAGTTTTTAACAGTCTTGAGTTTAGTGTTAACATCTATAGTGATATTATTATTCTTGTGAAAGGAAATGGTCTTGATAAGGCTGTAAGTGATATTTAGTGCATTTTAGGAGAGGTAGGTAGAAGTAGATGAGAGAACACAATACTGGTGCACCCGTAGGAGAAGCTGTGGAGCTGTGAAGAATCAGATCACTCATCTAGTAACTGTTGTACTCTGCACACGTTTTACAATTCATTCATTCAAGTTCAGTAAAGATTCAGTCTTAATTTTGATAAATAGGATTTCTAACATTTTTAGGGACTATTGAGATAATATGACTAGGTCCTTTGTTTAAAGAGAGCATAAATGATATCCCATTCAAATTCTGGTAGATTGATAACAAGAGATTTTTTGTCTCTTCATTTGGGGCCTCTTCAATGATCACTTACCCCTTGTCCTTCTAGGTCAATGGTGTGCAGCTTTATGGAAAATCTCGCCGAGAAGCAGTTTCCTTTCTTAAAGAAGTGCCACCCCCTTTTACCTTGGTTTGCTGTCGGCGGCTATTTGACGATGAAGCCTCTGTAGATGAACCAATGACTACTGAAACCCCTCTTCCTGAGATGGAGGTACTGAATGCATATATTACACTTCCCATAGGCATGCACATTCAGTAAGGATACCCCAAAGAAGGTACTACAGGGTTAAGAGAGGAGGACCAACCCTGCTCTACTCCTTTATATTTGACTGAGGCAAACAGTGCATCACTTTTCAGGTTATTATTTTCACTTACCATCCTAAAACTCTTTTCCTCAAAGTGTTGGTGACATTGATGTGCATGCATTTTGATTTTAGTAATTGCCTGCACTCATTGCTTTTGGCTCCTGGTTCAACTCAATTCATCTTAATAAGGTTAAGATTTTGGTGGATGTTGAATATCTAATGATCTTTTCTTTCTCAGAGCCTTAAAAATAAGAAGATGTGTGATCAGTTTTGAAGTGAGTCTAAAAGTTGCCATAAAACTTTTAGAAGACCAGAGAATGAAATAACTTTATCTGCTGTTGGAACTCTTTCTAAGAGCATTGTAATTTCAAAAAGAGTTTTGAGCACATATTTTGCCATCATGAGCCCTTGGTAATTGCATGTTTGTGCCACTTCTCATGTTTCCAGACGCTTAGGTTATAATTCCATTCATACCAGCTTAGATGCACGGGCTTCCTTTCTACCTGCCTTTGGTCAGGATTTCAAATTACATGGACTCTAATCCTGCCTTTAGCACTTAATATTCATGAATCTTGGGAAAATAACCTTGTTTTCTCTTCATATTCTTCTGAAAAATGGTGCCCTGATTAGAACTTACACATCTCATGCATTTATGTAAGAAGCAATAAATGTGCAAAATAAATAATATGTGCAAAGACCTTTCTGTGATGGCTTGAGTGTGGAAAGTACGCCACAAAAGTTAGTGATCACTTTTTTTGACTGCTGCAGTCCACCAATCTTTGTTTTCTGATTTTCTAAAGTACATTGGAATCTAGTACTAACTTACAGTCACAGATCCGTCAGTATATATCCATCTTGTTTTTCCAAGAAGACTGTCAGTTCCTCGTGGTCAGAGGCCAACTCTTAAAATTATTATTATTTTTTATTATCTCATAATGCTTTTATTCTGTACTGGGCAAATAAAAAGGAAATTTTTTGATAATTGATTGACAATCTTTTTTTTTTTTTAATGTTTATCTTTTGCAAAAAGAAAAAAAAAATCAAGTATGGAACTCAAATGCCAAACTTTTGTGACTTGCTCTCCTTAATGAAATGAAATATGGGTGGTGGCTTCCCTTTGAGGGCTGATAAAATGCCTTTAATCTAATCCTATAGGGTGTGTAAATCACCAACCCAGCTTGCTGACTCTGTGCTCCCATCTGTCATGCTTTACCACAATGGGTGAACAACAGCTTGAATTATGCCAAATGTCAACCTGGCTGCCCATTAGTTGATTGCTTTCCATTTTGTAAAAATAAGAATTATGCAAAATTGATTATATCAAAGTGATATATTTCCAGTTGTTGCATGATATCTTATGTACCTGGGATGCCTTGAAATTTCTACAAATTTGTGTTAATTGTATGTGGTTTCCTAAAGTCCTGACTTTCTTTTCCCATCTATCTCTTTTTTCACTTATACTGATACCATCTTATTTTATTAAACTATCTGGTTAGGTGGCTCAGCCAAAATTCAAACACTCATTAATCAGTGAGGGTATTAAGTTCCCAGTAAGACATCAATCATATTGTATTAGCCATTGGAACTGTGCATTTTATTGGAAGATATGAGTGTTTTCTTTTTAACTATATCACTTCATCATATCAGGATGAAATATGCAGAGGTTATTGATCTAGAACGTTTCTACTTATTTCAGGTTATATAATCTAAGAACAAGGAAATTGTTCCTACGTTCAGATTCCATCTTCCATGGACTGGGTGTTGATCTTCCATGTCCTACAAGCAACTTGCATCTGGACCAGTCCTAATTTTGGGGGGTTGGAAACTGGGGATTAATTCAGGGGTTCTTTACCACTGAGTCACATCTTCAGTCCTTTTTATTTTTTGAGACAGGGTCTTACTAAGTTGATGAGGTTGGCCTTGAACTTGTAATTCTCCTGCCCTTCTGCCTCAACCTCCTTAGTCACTGGTATTATAGGCATAGGCTGCCAGGCCCTGCATAAGAATGTTTTTGTACTAACTGTGGTGCCTTCCTCTTTAAATTATAGACTCTGCCTCCATTCCTTTGATTCAATTAAATGAGTTTTCTTATATGGGTCACTCAAAATTATATTAGTAGAAATGATACATTTTCATTTTATATTCTGAGAACAAACCCAAAATTTCAAGAAATCTGCTTTTAAAACTTGTTATTTAGTATATAACTTTACCAAGAAGGAGTTTTAAGAGAAACACACTCAAAAGTAGATGATTAATTAATGCATTGGACAGATATTTATCCAGTGCAGGCAGGCAGTAGGAGTCAAGTGGCAGTCTGCAGGAGCCCTCGCAGAGCCTCCATTCTAGTCCAGGAGCCAGGCTTTTTGTTAGTTGTGAGGGCCATAAAGCAAAAGGAGGTATTTCTTGAGTGTTATGCAAAAGGTCAGAGTTATGTTGGGGAAGATAAACTGGATGACAACAATATAATGCTATAAATAAAAACACAAGGAATAAAAGACTTTGGGTTGTCAAGTCAAGAAAAGTCTGCTAGGCACTTGGGCTGGCCTTTCCTCTAAGATCAGATTTTCATTATTTCAACTCAGTGATTGTGATAGCTTTCAGTCACTGTGTCAAAATACCTAAGCAGAAGAGGTTAAAGGAAGAAAACTTTATTTTGGTTCACAGTTTCAGAGGTTTCAATTCAAGGTCTGCCAGCTCCATTGTTTTGAGCCTGTGGTGAGGCAGAACATCATGGAAGAAGGGCATTGGAGAAAAGCTGTTCAGTTTATGATGGCCAGGAAGCAGAGAGATAGCAAGCAAGGGGCCAGGGGCAAGATACACCCCTGAAGGGCATGCCCCCAGTGGCCTACTGCCTCTAACTTGGCCCTACCTCTTACATTCTCCACCACCTCTAATAATGCCATTAAATTATGGAGCTAGTGGTGGATTAATTCACTGATGAGGTCAGAGCCCTTGGAATTCAGTCACTTCCCCTAAGCCCCACGTCTGACCATTGCTGCATTGGGGACCAAGCCTTCAACATCTGAACCTTTGGGACATTGCAGATCTAAATGATAATGTTGATTTTTACATATTTTTAGAATCACACAATGCTTAAGGACTTGGATTTCTTTTTTCTAACTTTTCTAGTGAAATCCCCCTGTGAATTGTAAAACTGTGACATTTATTAGCTAGCGAAGTTTTTATTGAAAGGACTCAACAGGAGTGATTTCTCTGTGTCCTGCGCTGGCTTCTCTCTGTGTTGACATTGTTTTCTGTCTTTCATTATAATTATGAATCTAGATATTGCTTTTTAAATATCTTGTATGTTTCTAGTTTATGTGATGTTTTTGTTTTTACTTAAATTGCATATTTTTCCTTTTATGCTTCTAATGGGATGACAGAACTCATTGAAGTATAAGAGGTTAGTGTTAATACTTTCAATGAAAAATATATTTTACATAAAAAAAACATTGTATGGACAATCTGCATTTTTAAATGCTTGAATTTTTAAGACCATCTATCTCATCCTAAATTGTGTGTGCCTGGTGCATGCCCTTTTTTAAAAGAACAAGAAGGAAAACTACTCATGTCAAAGAGAATTCCCAATTTGAAAATAAGCTGTGAGATTCCTAATATTTTCATTCTTTTCAGGAAAGAAAGGACTTTTTGGAAGCAATTATCTTCTTTGGTTTTTCAGGTTGAAAACAGGATAGATGTCAGTCCTGAAGATGAGGATGATGGGGAATTAGCTTTGTGGGCTCCTGAAGTCAAGATTGTTGAGCTAGTGAAAGACCATAAAGGCTTGGGGTTCAGCATTCTGGATTACCAGGTAAAAGAGCCTGTATAGAGGTTGATTTGATTTGCTGGTGGTTGTTTCTGTTTCTGTTTTGGTTTGGTTTATATTATGTGAAGTAGCAATTGTTTAAGGTACCTATTTTGACTTAAGCAAAACTGAATCCCAAAGAAGGGATATGATACTTCCAATCGTTACCTTTAAAATCAGTTGCTCTCATAGTGCTCACCTATTAATCTCAATGAATAAGTAGAAATATTCTTGGCGAGATTACATGTTTTTATTAATATATATATAACACCTATGCATTTACATACTTACAATCACTCTGGTTCCAACTAAAGTTACTGCCTCCCTTTTGGAAGGGAGGTGAAAGATCATGTTATACAGTTTACCAGTTACTGCTGTGTTTTTAGACTTCTGATTGTTTGGGAGAATTAAAACTGTTAGCAAAAAGCCTTTTACCTCTTTAGATGCATATTTTAATACTTTAGTGCTTCCTAAAACAGTGTGGTTTGATAAAGCAAAATGTCCTCTGTTGAGATACATAGAATGCCAGTGTTATAAAAATCAATTTTTTTTAAATACAATAAGGCAATTGGGAACAAATTAAAAGAAAAATACTTTGAGCATTATGTCAGAACATTAAATTCTTTTTTTGTAAGTGTGATTTAAAGGTACTGAAATAGATTATATGTATTTCATTTTTGCTAGCATATTTCTGTGCCAGATAACCCTCTATGTTGTTAGAATTACTTTTTGGAGTATTATTGGAGTATTATTGAATTGTGAGTTGGTGATTCCAAATGAATATTTTGGAAAATATTTTTATCAAGAAATATCAATATGGTAGAATTCTGGAAGTTTACATATTGGTTAATACTAGGGCACATAAAGCAAGTAGCAGGGGCTATCTCTTTTCTCCCCTTCCCATTGTAGCCCTATTATCTACCATCTAGTAAGTGGTTTATAAATATTTGTTCAATAATAAAGTTTAGATTAGCCAAAATTAATTGAATTTGGATGCACAAATTCAATGGGCATTTGTTAACCATTCTGATAACTAGGATTTAACTTAGAAAGCATCTTTCAGATATGGTCTCAGATGTTCAGCTACTTTTCCATTATCATAGGATTCTATGTATTTGCATTCTTTTATACAGTAAGTATTTACATCCTAATGGTTGCTTCTACTTTCTCATGGACATTTTCTGCAAGTTTTATAGTTTGAATATCATAGATATTAAAACAAATGTTTCAAAATTTAAAAAATAAAACTTCAATGAAGGATGAAAAAACAAAAATCCCTTGATAGTGCTTATTACTTTAATCCCTAGTTGACAGGAATATCCCTTTATCAGCTCTGTGCTTTATACTTTAAAAAAAAGTGGAATTTTTTTCTTCACTGCATCTGTATAGGTATGCATTCTAACTTCTATTGCTTTATTTATAAAATTTTAGGTTTGTTTTTTCTCCTCAGATTCCTCATAATCATTGGCACACATACATTTATTTATATCTACACAAATTATATGAAATAATTTCCATGCAAAATAGTATTAAATATTCTGCTTGCCTTTGTGTTTCTTGGAAAACTGATAGAAAAAAATACATAATCTCTTAAATCTGTGTGTGTGTGTGTGTGTGTGTGTGTGTGTGTGTGTTGCTGAGGACTGGAACCGGGTTTCTTGGATACTAGCTGAGTATTCTACCACTGAGCTGAGCTACAACGCCATATCCCCTGAATGTTATTTTGATTTAAGTGAAAGGGTTCACCTTATTTATTTCTGAAGCTAAACCTTGGAAGAAAGAACAGTCAGTTTTAAATTTTAAATTGAATGTTTTTCTTAAGTTTAATCTTAAGTATACTCACAGATGGGCTTAGCACCTTTTCACCATTTGTCAGTGGTACGTAAAATTGTTATCCGTTATGACATTCAGATGATAGGTAAACACAATTTAAAATTTGGTTTTGTGCAAGTTAATTAATCGATTATGCCATCTCTTGTTGTAATTAGGTAATAAATTCCAAAGTTCAAGAATATTTTTTGCAAGGCCAGACAGAGGTTTGGCAGAAGCCATGAAAGGCCGCGTTCCCTGCTATTACTGTATTCAATGTGTCCTGAATGAATTTATTAGGTTGCAGATTCCTGCTTAGCATATTTAGCGTAAGAAGTAAGGTAGGAAAATTTTAGTCACAAGGAGAAAGTATTAGTGTGGTAGACCATCCAGGTTGTTCATTCTCAGCAGTGAAGAGATTGTACTTTTATCTTGGAATATTAATTTCAGTTAACCACTTTCCTCACTATGGGTTTTTCTCAAGAATAACAACTTACTGAAGAGCCTGGCAAAATTATGTACATCTGTTCCATTGATGCTTATGTAGTTTCTTATCTATAAAATGGGGATTATAACGTCTAGCTAGAAGAATTGTGTAGATTAAGTGAATTAATGTGTGAGAAGTAGAAAATGTTATATTATTGTGGAAATGTATTATTTACCATCATCTGATTTAGAAAATGAACACAAAGTTTTAAAAACTATCCTCAAAGATTATGCCATAAAACAATGTTTGAACTTTATCTGTTTTTAACTACCTAGTTATTTTAAGAAAAAAGGCTTTGTTTAGTGGAGTCTAAATTTAATTGTAAAATTGCATTCTAAAATGCAGCCAACTCTTGATGAGCCATATGTGAATTACCCAGTTGTGGATTATTGGGCAGAAGTATGCTTTTTACATAAATGAGAAGAACTTTAGGAAAATATGAGTGAGCAAGATAAAGGATCTTGAATCTGTCCATGGAATGATGGGGTGGCTGACTGCACAGGTCAGTGATTCAGAATATTGATAGAAGTTGCATAGCTGATCAAAGAAAAAAAGCATGCCTTTGTTTTAGTAGCTTTTTCCATTGCTGCAACCGAAAGACCTGACAAGAACAATTAGAAGACAAAAATTTATTTTGGTGCTCTTTGTTTCAGAGGTTTTAGGCAATAGTGGCTGACTCCATTTCTTGGGGCCTGAGGTGAGGCAGAACATCTTGGTGGAAGGGTGTGGTGAAGGAAAGAGGCTCAGGACATAACACTAGGAAGTAGATAAAGAGTTCTCTTCACACCAAGGATAAAATATAAACTCCAAAGGCAGGATCCAAAGACCCACCTCCTCCATTTACACCCTACTTGCCTCCAGTTACCACCTCATTAATCCCTATCAGATGATTAATTCACTGGTTAATTTAAGGCTCTCATAATCCAGTCATTTCACCTCTAACCTTTTTTTGCATTGTCTCACTCATGAACTTTTGGGGGACAATTCACATTCCAAACCATAGCAGTTTTTCTACCTGAAATGAAGAAGCTGAGTTCTACAAGTCAGTGCTATGGCCAAAGAGCAATGTGGAAATTCTTCTCCATGAAAGGCATTTTAAATTAGATTGGGGCAAAGGGAAAAGAGAAAATAACAGGGATGACAATAAATATGCACATTGTAAATTTTTCCTTAGATTTTAGTGTAGTAGCCTTTGTGGCTTTGATTTGAATAGAGGTAGAGTATTCATTAGTCTCAAATATACCTAGGCATTACCCTGTGTAGTAATTCATTAAAATCCTGCCTGGTATGTGTACCATACTGGAAAATTCACTGGTTCCTGTGTAACTAACTTCATGCCTTATAGGATTAGGTCATGGAAAACAATGAAGCATGTAATCTGTCAAGAGCATTAATATTATGGCGTGACTACTCTGTTTTTGCACAACTTAACTCATCAGAACTTGGTTTTAAGTTTTTATAGCTTAATTCTCACCAGGTTTTAGATGAGATTTCTACATCATACCTTAGTTATATTTTGGTTTTCAGTTTCCTAGTGTGATATTATGTGTGATGTTTTTATTCCTCAGAATATTGTCTTCATGAAATATTGTTAATATATTAATACTAACATTAATATAAATATAATAATAATAGGTAACATTTATTGAGTGTTATGTGCTAGTAAACCCTAATAGGCCCTGTTCTAATTGCCTTATATTTATTAGCTCCTGCATTCCTCATAAGAACAATATGAAGTAGGTAGAATTATGACCCTAATTTTAGAAGTGAGGAAACAGGCACAGAGAGGTCAAGTTACTAGTCCAAGATCACACTACTAGTATATGGTAAAATGGAATTTGAATTCAAGCAGTCAGGCCCCAGATCTTTTTTTTTTTAGAGAGAGAGAATTTTTTTAATATTCATTTTTTAGTTTTCAGTGGACACAACATCTTTACTTTTTATGTGGTGCTGAGGATCGAACCCAGCGCCCTGCGCATGCCAGGTGAGAGTGCTACTGCTTGAGCCACATCCCCAGCCCAAGCCCCAGATCTTACTCCTTTTAATCATAATTTCCTGTTATTCCTTTCTTTGTGAATCGTATTTTCATATGCCTTTTATTATAGGGCATCACTATAGTCAACTTACTACAGCAGATCTTCCTGTTTTTCCAGCTTTTAAAAAATTTCATATTTTAAAGACTAAGCTACTAAATCGTATTCTCATTTTTAGTGTTTATATGAAAGTTTAGTAAGTATTAAAAATTAATTAATGTAGTGTGCTCATATGCATTGTGTAAGAGGAAGTATTTATTGTTTCAGAAAAAAATTGCAAATTTAAGAATCCTAAATTAGTGCAAGTAATTTGTTGTGGGTTAATGTTCAATAATGAAGCAATTATTAGGTAGTCTGAGAGTGTAATTTTTAATTTCTACCAAAAAGCTTGAAAAAAATGTGAAGCTATATGGATTTTACCTTCAGTTGACCTTATAAATTAAACATGGCAAGTGGATATTTTCTAGTGTTTTGATTTATGCTGAACTTTGAATAACCCCTTATGATTATAATTCACTGGAAATGTTTGACATTAGCCAATTTTTGAACATTAGCCATGATATTGCCATCCTTGGTACTTTTGAATTTCAGTGATTTAGAAGGTAAAATTTATTAACTAATAATTCTCCTCCCTCCTACGTCCTGTTCTTCTTATCTCTCCTCTCCTGACTGACTCA